GGGGAAGTATTGATTCAGAGAGGAGTTAAGCAAGGGTGTCCTTTATCCCCGATGTTATTTGTCATAGCTATGGAACCTTTGGCAGACAGAATTAGAAATAGTATCAGAATACAGGGGTATAAGGTAGGAAAGGAGGAAATTAAATTGAATTTATTTGCGGACAATATTTTATTGGTCTTAGGGAATCCTTAAGCATGTTCAGGTTTAGGAGTAAATATTAAGAAGTCAGAAATAATGTTTAGCAAGATAGATTTAAAGGAACAAAAAGAAATAGCAAAGTTAACAGGTATGAAATCAGGAAATAAGAAATTGAAATATTTGGGAGTAATAATAACAAGAAATGTCAAGAATTTGATGGGGATAAATTATAAAATAATATGTAAGAAGATACAAAAAATTTAAATCAATGGAATAATAAGTATTTGAGTATACTAGGAAAGATTAGGGCATTTAAAATGTTTATAATACCTAAATTGATGTATTTGTTTCAGATACTTCCAGAATGGGTGTCTAAGAAACAGTTAGCAATGTGGGATAAGGTATTTAAAAATTGGGTTTTTGGAAAGAAACAAGCTAGAATACCAAGGAAAGTGATATATTCATCAAAGGAACATTTAGGTTGGGATATGCCACAATTGGAAGGATACTATGAAGCATTGCAAATTCAAATGTTGTTGGATGGGAAAAATTAGGATAAATGGGGCCGATGGGAAGATTGTATCAATGGAGAAGCAGGCGGATTTGGAATATTTACACAAAGATTTAAAAAAGAGATCAATAATACAATAGGCCCAAGATGGACAGCATTAAAAATAGGGGGGTGGGGAACAGGTTAAGTGGATGCCTCCACATTCTAAGTGGGCCCCACTTGAATCACTAAATGAGGAATTTAAAATTTTTGAGGTAACTTTTTGGAAGGAGCTAAAGGGAAAGGACCTATATCTTTTACTTTCCATAGGTCCTATTTAAAGCTATGATTTTAGCTGCCCATGCGGTTATAGCGCTTGGCTGGAAAGATGCTACAAAATGGACTATAGACAGATGGAATGGTTATTGATATGAATGGGCACAGTCGGACATATTAACGATATTAAAACAGGAAAAGCTAGGTGAGGATAAGAGTGTGGAAGTCAAGAAGAGGTGGTTTGAGTATATAAGATGGGTAAAAGCGGCGGGGGGGGGCAATAATGATATATTGGTTAAACTCCAAAAGGTGTGCCTATGGTTACAGATATAAAATAAGGAATTATTGCTGGTCGTTTTGAGAAGGGGGGGAAAGGGAATGGGGAAAGAAATATTCGATGTATTGAGGTATGTAATATATGCTATGTTATGTACTGTTTGATTTACATGGAAGCAGGATTAAATACTTCAATTTTAAAAAAGTTTAAAAGTTATGGTTTTCAAGATTCAATAAATAGTTTCTAAGGTAAAGCCGCTGTCTTGGTTGTCTCTCTCTGTGAAAACTCTCTTGCGAGTCTCAGTCCAGCCCATAGAATATTACTGGGGGTCCCAGGCAATTCCCTGGACTTTGAAATCCCCCAAACCCCAACATTTATCCACCATACCAAGGAGATTTGCTCATAACTAAAAATTTGGAAGATGTCAGAGACTATGACTTATCTACCTTTGGGAAACATTTTATGAAGTGTTACAATTGTATTGGGCCACAAGAAATTGACAGCAGTATGATTTCTTATGAAGCATGGATTCCATTATGTTGGGTTTTGTATTTCTGAGGTGACATGAGCTGTGGCCAAATTTTTGTCTCTTAAGACGCTCCTCTGCTTTGTATTAATGTGACAACTTCAAGGGTTTTGTTTTTGCCATTTTAAGAAAAGCCATCAATACATTTTAAGCAGAAGGACTGGCACAAAATCATTTCACAGTGTCAAGCCCTTAGTATTGGTCTGGGGAAAACAGAGATTGAAGGATTATTATTTTTAATATAGGCTACATTTCTGATTTAAGGAGCAGAACTCCTTTCCCCCTCCAAACTCTATAGGGAGGCTTCACAGAAAGCCAATGGCCTTTGATCACCTCTTCCTGGCTGAGTGGGGATTTGAACTAAATTCAAAACTCTACCACACTGATTCTGAAGGTCACAGAAGCACACCATATATTCCATCTCTCCCCCACTACTATTATTTACAGGTGGCAATATAGTAACTAAGAAAAAGTACTGTCTGGTGGTTAGAGTGTGGAACTCAAGACTACAAAGATCTGGGTTCAAATCCCTGTCACAAAACTCAATGGATAACTAATGGGCCAGTCACTCTCTCAGCCTAACCTACCTTACAGGGTTGTTGTGAGGATGACAGTGGGGAGAAATATATTTCACCGTGAAGTCCTTGGAGGGTGGGTAACTCAAACATTAAAATAAATAAATGTTTTAAATTGTTGGCTTAGGTCCGTACCCGCCGCCTTTCCACGTCTTGTATTGTACCACGGCACACGGCTTGCCGCGAAGACTGGGCTCCAGGCGCTGCTCCACCTGGATGTAGAAACAGTCCATGTCCGCCAACGCCACCACCCGATCCCGCCCGCGGGACATCACGGGACACGCAAGGCCACTACCTGGCCAGAACAAGGGTAGTGTTCTGGATGAGGGCTAAACTGGAGGGATTCCGCTTAGAGCCGGACGGAGAGTGGGGCATTCCAAGCACCCAGCCGGCGCCCACTACCAAGCAAGCAAAGTTCTCTCGATTCCCGCCCTTACTACTGCAAAGGAAGAAGAGCACACAACTCCCAGCATGCTGCCTTTCAACCTCACCCGCATCATGTTTAGCAGTAATGCACACTGGGACATGTAGTCTTAGGGGGAAATCTGTCTCCCGAACAGCGGCTGAGAAAAAGAGACCTAGGTCCCGTCCTCGAGGAGCGCAGGGTTAACTTTATTCTTAAGGCCTCAGTGGGGCATTTTCCATTTGTCTAAACTGACAGGATCAAAAACTAATAGGACTGACAATTCGTCAGAGCAAAGAATGGGGACGGCCTTAACAAAGGGTTCAAGAGAACACGCTGTAGCCATCAACCGCAGCGATAAAGCTAAGCTTATATCCTGCAAGCATCTCACTGACGAAGCCTGCAAGGTCAGACTTTACATCGTGGCATCTGTTTTCCACCCTTCTGTCTTTTTAAATCTTGTAACATCAAACCTGATGAAGAGTCCTGGTGGGCTGGAAAGCTAGGTGTTTTGTGCTAATACCATCAATCCAATAAAAAGTGTTAAATGGATTTATTCCTTTGACTACTTACCAGAAGTCCTCACACACGCAAGCGGCAAAAGTGTCAGCTAATCATAGGATACAGTGGAGAAACCCAGAAACAATGCTACTCACACAAAGACCAAAGATTAAGTTTATGCCTCCTCAGTGCAGTTCTTTTTGTATGAAAAAGGTAATATAGTGGAAAGTTATTACGCCCATTTTGCAACCTTTATAGGTAACTAACACAGTCCATTGTTAACAACCTAGTATTGTAAATGAAGAGCAGTGGACTGATAGTGGTTAATTACAATCCTGCAATGAACTGTTGTGCTGGATCAGAGGGCCATCCAGTTTCCTTCAGGAGATCTCTAGATGTCCAATCTTTAAGTAATATACAAAACCAACGTCTCTCCCATGCCATTATTGCTCCCAAGTAAGTAGTGTTCAGAAAACATAGCCCCTGAACACAGAGGTATCTTTAAGCCATTGTGGCTAATAGCCATTGATGAACCTGTCCCTCATGAATATCTCCAACCCTTTTCAAGAAGCCATCCACATAGATAGCCATGACTATATCCTGTAACAATGTCAGTCAGTCTGTCTTTAGAGGCCACAGGCATTCAGAAGCAAGACCCCCTCCCCCCGCAGAAAAAAACACTATTATAAAATTAGTTATTTCCATAGAATTTCAACATATATTATTTGTCCTAATATATCTAACAGTTAAAGGGCTAGAATCTGAGTAAATTATCTCAGCCCATATTTTTATTGCAGAAAACACAGATACTGTAGTATCTCTGGTCAACATCTGCCAATAATCTTGAGCGTCTTCTGCTCAGATTACAGCTTTTTATTAACCAACACAGGTTCCAGTAAATCCAAGCATTTCTGTAGACAGAATCTATGATGGAAAAACATGTGGACCAATTTTCAATCCGGTTAACAGAGCAAGGACAAAACCTACAATTAGATGCAATGTTTTTGTATCTTCCTGTCAGTTCAGACAGCAGCACATTTTTGACAGTGAATTCCATAAACTAATTTATGCATTGTGAAAACAAGTACTTTCTACCATCTATCCTGAATTGTACATAAAATTCACTGGGTGAAGTGAAGAAAAAATGTTGTCCAATGTCTGCTCACTATCCATGATTTTATAAATGCCTTTATCATCACCTTTTCCTTAAAATGACCACCCCACACACACTTCAGTTTTACCTTTATTATCATCTTGGTGCAGAAAAGAACAATCTTTCCTTTCTCCCTTTGAGATACAAGGTGCTACACAAGCAATTGAACCATGAAGCTTTCCAAAGTACTGACCATTTTATTTTCAAGCCATTTCCTAATAATCTCCAGAATACAATTTGCATTTTTCATTGGGCCATGATCCCAAGATATCTTTGCTGGTCTATTATTGCCAATTCAGGCGATAATTCAATTCAATTCAACATATACAAAGTCAGAATTTTCTGCCCCAATGTGTATCACTTTACTTTTATACTGAACCTCATTTCTCAAATTGTTACCCACTCACCCCGCCTGCAGAGAGCCTCTTGGAACTCTTCACTCAACCTTGGGTTTCACTACCCTAATTTGTTATCATCTTCAGATCACTTACAAACAAATTAAATTTAGCCCAGCTACAGATTATGAGAGGAAGCCTATCCTGCTTTTTAATACCCCCATATTGCATACAGGAATTGAGGGCGATAATCATTCGGATAAAATATTAAAAGCTTTAGTAAAGTTAACTGCCTCCATCCTTATTGGAGAAATGTGCCCTTTGCTGCAATATAATTCAGTGCACGTTATCAAGATCCACATGGTAGAATGATTGCATAGGGAACCACTCCTTAGAGAGGGTGGGCACATCAATCTCCCTTGTGGGAGGGTGTTAGCTGACGGTCGGGACGTCGTGGTCGAGGTCGGAAAAAGGCAGAAGAACTTCTCGGCTACAAAAATCCCTGCTGTGGATGTTTCCGGCCAGGCGGTAGCAGTGTGGTGATGTGACATACGGGTCCTGAAGCCTGGTCGACAAGCAGCCGTTGGAAAATGACTGAGCCAAGCCAGAAGACGTTTACACCGTGCAGTGACAGTGTGTGCAATTAAATGAATATATGTTGTCTTCCCTATCCCCTATGAACATTGTTAGTCCCCTGTCTAAAATGTGTAACTGTACATCGCTTTGAGCCCACTGGGGAAAGCGATTAATAAATTGAAAGTATTATTATTATTATTATTGTTGTACACATGTTGTTGTTGTACACATGACAGATGCCACAAGTAATGAAGCAGCGTGCCCTAGCCCACAGAAAATCGTGCTAGAATAAAAATTCCTTTACTCTCTCGGGTATCACATGGTTCATGATTACTTCCATTTCAAAAACAGTTTGGTATACTGGTTAAGTGTGCGGACTCTGATCTGAGAGAACCGGGTTTGATTCCCCACTCCTCCACTTGTAGCTGCTGGATGATCTTGGACAAGCCATAGTTCTGTCAGAGCTGTCCTTGAAAGAGCAGTTCTTGAAAGATCTCTCTCAGCCCCACCTACCTCACAGAGTGTCAGTTGTAGGGAAGGGAAACCGCTCTGAGACTCTGAGTGAAGGGCAGGGTATAAATCCAGTCTCTTCTCTTCTTTCTCTAAGTCATCTAAAATCAATATGATCCCGAAATCAAGCAGCAGAAGAAAAGAAGCCAGCATAAATCATGCCCCACACTACAGGAAATGCAAATCTAGCTAAACTACTACTTCCCGCGCTCCCTCAACATTCCTCCCAACCGAAAACCAGAGCTCTGTTGACGCCACTCATTTCTATCAGCACATTTTATATTTTCGCTCTATTAACGGAAAACCGGGTTCCTAAAAAAAAACCAACAGGAAACTAAGGGGCGTGCGTTACTCTACTCTTTCTAGCATTATGGGTGGGATTTTGAGATATTATTTGTGATTGGTCCGCTCCTTCGAGGACACGAAAACATCTTTACTGCGCATGCTCAAAGTCGGCCTCTCGCTTTACAGAGCATGCGTCTCACGCTCTCTTCCCCCTCCCCCCCGCCTTGCCTGACGTTTCAGAGACCGGCGTTTGTCTATCGACGGCGCTTCGGGAAAGGCTAAACGAAACGGTCGTCTAGTAATTGGCGCCTGCGTAATACGTTCCCGTGGTTCGTTGGTCTTTTCGCGACGTTGCTCCCCTAACTCTCCCCCGTGCCTGGTTGCCCGGGGCAACGGCCGCTTCCCTCCTCTCTTTCCCGCATCATGTCTGGGGACCAAGTGAGCAGTCTCTGCGAGCAGTTGGTGAAGGCGGTCACGGTAATGATGGACCCGGCCTCCACGCAGCGATACCGTCTGGAAGCTCTCAAGGTACCATTGGGGTCGTAAGGGCCTGAGGTTCCGCCTCTTCCCCAACCCTTGCTATAGGAATCTCTTTCGTGTCGCAGCACAGGCACATGGCGGATGGCCCTGGACATCCGACACCCTGAGCATTGCCTGTTTCCTCCCCCCGCTGCTCACAGAGGCGTATTGCTTCGGTATGCACAACTTGCTGGGTTTAAAGCCGTGGGAATCACACGATTCTTCTCCTGAAGTCGTGCGGTCTTTGAAAGGGTGTGCCCGCAGGCTCCCTATAAAACCTCTTCTGTCCCAGCAGGGCGTACAAGACAGGGATTCCCTTCTCCCATCCCGCCGCATTGCTCCACGTGGCCGGTAGCGTCGTTTGTGGGGCCTGTGAAAGTTAAGCAGTTGGCAGGGCTGGCTTCCCATACCGACGAGCGGGAGAGTGCCTCTGGAACAAAGCAATTGAACATTACTTCCCATTGTCAAGTCAACACTTGAGAGCGTGGGAAGCGACTGTAAAATGAGCGGGGCTAGTGTAAAGGAAAGGCATGAATCTTGATAAAGGAGTAGCAGGTTGGCTTTATGTGATAGTTAGACACACACACGACTGCCAGAGCCTCTGTGCTGTAAACACTGCCCTGGTAAAGATGCTGGAGATTCTTGTAGCACAACAGTGTTGTGTGCCTATAAAACCTCTTCTGTCCCAGCAGGGCGTACAAGACAGGGATTCCCTTCTCCCATCCCGCCGCATTGCTCCACGTGGCCGGTAGCGTCGTTTGTGGGGCCTGTGAAAGTTAAGCAGTTGGCAGGGCTGGCTTCCCATACCGACGAGCGGGAGAGTGCCTCTGGAACAAAGCAATTGAACATTACTTCCCATTGTCAAGTCAACACTTGAGAGCGTGGGAAGCGACTGTAAAATGAGCGGGGCTAGTGTAAAGGAAAGGCATGAGTCTTGATGAAGGAGTAGCAGGTTGGCTTTATGTGATTGTCACACACACACACCCCTGCCAGAGCCTCTGTGCTGTTAACACTGCCCTGGTAAAGATGCTGGAGAGAAGATTCTTGTAGCACAACAGTGTTGTGTGCTGGTTGAACTTATGCTTGTTAGGCAGCTTCTCTATCACGTACACAGGATCTCAGCCAGCACAGGAGACAACACTAGGTAGGCGTTAGATAGTGTTTACTGTGTTTTGGCTAGGATCTGATGTGATGTGGTAGTTCAGGAAAGGTGTTGCAGGAGCAGGGCTTTTGAATTGGGTATTAAAGCTGGAGAGGCTGACCGCATTAAAACCAATATGCAGCATGCAAAGAGCAAAAATGGGAATAGGGGGGAAAGAATAAAGAAAGGTAATAGCTTGTAAGTTTACACAGAGGGAAGAGAACAGGATGGAAATGGGACAAGACTATAGGGAGATACTTCTGAGGGAAACAACAGATTTTTAAATGAAATATTTTAGACCGTGGTACTTAGTCCAAGGCTCAGGAAGAGTCGTTTTTGCAATTACCATCAACCAAAAGAGCCACATTTATTCCAGTCCCTGACATGAGGCCTGTACTTCAGGAAGGCTCACAGCTTATCCATTTCTCTGGTTATGTGTGACCATTTCAAGGTAGGAACCATGTGCCAACCATAAGTCCCACTGAGTAAGGGCTTTGAGTTTACACAGAAGGAAGAGAACAAGATGGAAATGGGACAAGACTATGGGGAGATACTTCTGAGGGGAACAACAGCTTTTTAAATGAAATATTTTAGACCGTGGTACTTAGTCCAAGGCTCAGGAAGAGTCGTTTTTGCAATTACCATCAACCAAAAGAGCCACATTTATTCCAGTCCCTGACATGAGGCCTGTACTTCAGGAAGGCTCACAGCTTATCCATTTCTCTGGTTATGTGTGACCATTTCAAGGTAGGAACCACAACCATAAGTCCCACTGAGTAAGGGCTTTGCCTGCTTTCCTGAAATAGAGGTGCAGTGCTCAGAAGAGCCACATGTGGCTCCCAGTGAGTATCGTGGATTTAAGAAATTGAGATCAATGTAGAAAGTAAGGAGACTGAGAGCAATCCTGAGCAGGTCTCCTTGGGTGTACATTCTGTTTTGTTCAGAGGCTTACTCCCAGGAACATATTCTTTGGATTGTAACCCTTGTAAAGGTAAAGGTTCCCTTGCTCGAAAGCCAGTCGAGTCCGACTCTAGGGTTGTGGTGCTCATCTCCGTTTCAAAGCCGAAGAGCCAGTGCTGTCCGAAGACGTTTCCGTGGTCATGTGGCCGGCATGACGAAACACCAAGGTGCACGGAACGCTGTTACCTTCCCACCAAAGTGGTACCTATTTATCTACTTGCAATTTCTTGCTTTCGAACTGCTAGGTTGGCAGGAGCTGCAACTAGAGACGGGAGCTCACTCCGTCATGTGGCAACTTGGGTCTCGAACTGCTGAACTACTGACCTTCTACAGCCTGCAGTTCAGCGTCTTAACCCCTTGAGCCACCGCTTTATATATAGTAGACAGGCTTAAATTCACAGGAACTTCAAACATCTTTGGAAAGTGGCACTGAAGGAGAGCTGTTCAGTTTCTTCACCTAAACTGTGGAGTCCAACAGAGTTCTGTTTGTCTCTAATGATGTTTAGTATCTTCATGAAACTACTGAGATATTCTGTGGAGGCTGGAAGTGAAGTGATCAACTTGAATGCTGAATCAGTGATACATTAGTTTGCCCACTCTGGATGAGATTGCCAAGATTGTAGCTTGGGGTTTGATTAATAGTGTCTACAAATGGAGGTTGAGGTCTCAGGCACATAGCAGCTCAAACTAATTGCTTTAATGATGTGTGGTCGGGAGGCAGGTTGATTTTAATGGCTTTATAATGTTATTTTATCATTTATATTTTAAATTGTTGGCTGCCTTGGTGGCCATTGTAAGGGCAGAAAGGCAAGATACAAAATTTGTAAACAAAAAAAATAACTTACCGAGTTGTTGGTTTTATTTTGTTGTAAGCTGCCATGTTATTTACATGTTATTTATTGTTGGTTTTATTTTGTTGTAAGCCGCCCTGAGCCAGCCATGGCTGGGAGGGCGGGGTATAAATGTAATAAATAAGTACATAAATAAATAAATAATAACTTGTCAGTTTTAAAATCATTACACTGGTTGCTAATTAATTTTGAGCATAATACTGCAGGAGTGTACTGCATACCCTGCAGTTGTGGACAGTTTAAGGCTTCATCAGGCTGCTTTCCTTAGTGATAGAACCCATCAAGCTCTTAATCTTACCAGAGCTTGGTGGGCTCCATCACTAAGGAAACTGACCTGATGAAGTCTTAGAAAATGGCTAAGCAACCTAGGCATGCCGTTGCCACTCCTTTGGTTTGCACTGTGGCTATTCCTGAGCCCGTGCCGTCCACTTTGTGTTTTCTCTTTGAAACACCTCTCTGCATCATGAGTCAGTGACTGCATCATTCTAAAGAGAGACTTGTACTTTCAAGGACTGTTAGGTCACTATTCAACTGGTGTAGATGTCATTCATGCATGGTGGCAAAACCATTTGTTGTGTGTATTGTTTATAGTTGTAATTAGACCTGTATAAGAAGACGGAAGTATCTAGTGTAATTTGTACAGTGTGACAGACTACTCTGTTTATTTGTTTTATAATATAGCTGCATTGTGGTTTTCTTGGACTGGATGCCACCAGTCATTTCTGCCCGTGTATGGAGAGGGTTGATTTTTGCCAATAATCCTACTTAAATTGTTCCTGGGGCAGGGTCCCTTGTCTCCCAGGAGCAGCATATCAGGGGGGTTGGATAATTCTCACTCTGCTAATATAAATCATTAACTCTGTGGAGATTTTCAGCAAATGCTTAAAAACATTCTGTGTTTTTTTGATACTAGTGTTTAAGTATTTTTATTTTGATGTTAGCTGCTGTGGAAGTTTCTAATGGGAAAAAAGGATAACAATGGTTTAAATATATATATAGGAGGTGGTATGATTTAGTAAAAAGAACATTCTGTTGTGTGTTGACACAAGAGCATGGAAATTGCCAGAAAGATTGCCAACAATGAGAAAGTTGCACCCAAGCTAATGTGTAGCCTAGTGCTCAGCCTTTCTCCCTATAAAGCATTTAGCTCCTGAAAAACATCTGAAGTGTGTGTCTGGGGGTTTTCATACATTACAGTAGGTAGTGAAAAAAATCTAGTAAAAATAATAAGGTTTGTTGGCATATAGCTACATACACTATAGTTTGTTCTTCAGAGCCATCCTATACTTCTGGGTGTAAAGCAAGTTAGCACTCAGTACAGTAGCACATACTTTGCTAAATAACCAAACCATACGTTTTCTCTGTATTTTTAAAAATAATTGTGGGGGTTCATGTGTATTTTCTTTACCTCTGTCCAAAATCAGCCTTCTCGTGTGTCTGTTTCAATGTTATTGTATAGGGTTTTGGTGGAGGGAGGGTTTTTTTGTGCTTTTGTTTTTGTTTTTAAATATTTCCTTTCTCCTTTTTCAGTTCTGTGAAGAGTTTAAGGAGAAGTGTCCCAAATGTGTTCCTTGTGGACTGAAGCTGTCAGAGAAAACCCAGACCGCTATAGTCCGGCACTTTGGACTTCAGATCCTGGAGCATGTGGTGAAGTAAGGAAGTTTGTTTGATTCAGGTGATGTTGTATTGCAACTTTAGGAAATTCTGCTTGCCCAAACTCAGGATCTCATCCGTCACACACACACATGGATATGTGTAGCTTCCCTACACTGAGTCAGTTCACTGGTCTATCAAGGTCAGTATTGCCTGCTATGACTGGCAGTGGCTCTCCAGAGTCCCCGGTTCAGGTCTTTCTCATCGTCTTCTATCTCATCCCGTTAAATGGAGATGCCAGTGATTGAACCTGAAACATTCTGCATGCAAAACAGATGCTCTACTACTGAGCCATACCCCTTCCCCCTTGATTGTCAGTGATCAGCATCTTTGGTTATTAATTCATGTATAACTGAACCTGGTGAGTGTTGTAAAAGGATTAAATGTACTGTTCAAACAACAGACTCATCAAGGCGTCATTTCCTGCCGGAACGTGCTGGAACAGCGCTCCGGCAGTAAGGAGCCCAGGGGTGGGCCCCCCACCTTTCCTGGCCCGCCCGCCAAGGCAGATGCGCCAGGGAAGGCCTGCAGAGCCCCCCGACCTGGGGGATTTAAATGCCTTTCTTTCCCTTCCCCAGATGGCATTCAAAACCTGCCTGCCTGCCTGCCCTTCCCTTCTCCAGCCGGCCCACCGTGGGAGGGGAAAGGGAGGCGGGCAGACATGCCCCCTTTTTCCCCTGACCCTCTCTGCTTTTGCAGAGAAACTCGGGGAAGTGGGGGGGATTTAAATGCCTCTCTTTCCCTTTTTCCCCAGGTTCCTGGGTTCCCTGCCCGATCTTCCCTCTGGGGCACCTGGAGATCAGGCAGGGAACCCAGGCATGCTTGCATGCCTGCCCTTTGTCAGGGGGTGTGGCATATGCAAATGAGTTATGAAAATGAGCTCCTGCACCTCTTTTTCTACGAAATGACACCTGGATTCATCTGTGCATAAGCAATAAAATCCTATTATATCATTCCAGGGAAAGAAGTTTATGGTGATCTGTGAGCTGACGAAAGGGAACCTGCATCTCATTTTAGTTTAAATATACAACAGGATCACAACACATATAAATGAAGACAAAAAACCCCACCATGATAAATGGCTGCTAAACTGTATAAAATATTGTATATTTAATAGATTTAAATGCTATGTTTAATAAAAGCCCACTTTAAGGTGTACTTCACTGTTTGATTTTCAAGCTTGGTACAAGCAGGAACGTATTAGAGTTATAGGCTCACCTTTTCTGTGTGATAAGAGTTTTTGTACAAGCGGTAGCTTGGTGATTATTAGAACATGTAGCATAGCATTTGAATTATTAAATATATAATATTTTATACAGCTTAGCAGCCATTTATCACAGTGGTTTTTTTGTCTGCATCTCAGTTTTGGTTTGCCATTTGGTCAGGTTGTCAGAGGAGCCAAGATGAATCAGTGTTAATTTCTTTGACTGGAACATTAACCACCTTATCCAAACTTTTGAAATAATTGGTCAAAAGCAGGCTTGGAGGGAAAACTTTACACTTCTACCCTGAAATCTGATTGGGTTGAAAAGGCTTCAGGAGAAATGAAGTTTACATACCACCTTTTCTCATGACTCAGGCAGTTTACCGAACACTATAATTTTAAACCAATAAAATAAAACTCCAGATACCCTCCCTCATCACCCACAAAAGACACCTGAAATTTATACTCTAGTAAAAGCCCTGGAAAATAAAATGGCCTTACAGAACCTCTTGATGATTGTAAAGATCTATTGGTGCCTTCTTTGTTATTTGGCAGATTCCGTTGGAATAGTATGGCTCGACTTGAGAAAGTCTATTTGAAGAACAATGTCATGGGACTGATATCCAGTGTGAGTCTGGCTTTTCATAATGTTAAACTGCTACACTGCAGTTTTTTACCTGTGTTGTAGAGATAATTTATATGTATCAGCTGTGGAAGAGGCAGAACCTGCTGGTGTTCGTGAGAGACTACTAGTAAAGCTTCTGGGAGGAGGTCATTTCAGTAGTTTAGCTACCACTTCTAGAGAGAATATCGTTTGTAATTCTAGGAATATTTGTTATTGAACGCCAAACTCTCCTTAGGCTTCTTAATCTATTTTTTTGTTTCTGGGTTTAAATGGCTCCATTCAGATAGATATAAATCTATATATAAGATCCATTTTAATTTATAAATGATTAATTTTAAATTATTATTAAATTAAAAGATCTGTTTTAATTTGAGTGATAGTTTTCTTGGTGCAGGGTGTCACTTTTGTTTTTGTGGGCTAGAAGGGCATATTTGCCTAAGTTCATTCAAACTTTTCTTGCTGTTGCTATTTTACCACAGATGTTTGCTGTGGAATAAATATTGGATGACTCAGGACAGCTATCTTCCATTTCATAACTGTTCCAGTTTTTTGTTCACAGGGTACCCAGAATATTTTAGAGGAAGAAAGTCACATAAAGGACGTTCTCTCTCGCATTGTCGTTGAGATGATCAAACGCGAATGGCCCCAGCACTGGCCTGACATGTTAAAAGAGCTGGATACACTCTCCAAGCAAGGGGTATGACATGAGCCTCACTGTCAGATTGTGGTACCTTTATTAGTCTTGAGTGGGAGATAAAATTATCCAAGTGTGTGTGTATGTGAATATTATAGCCTGCCTACACATGTGTGGTACTTTTAAGTAAATGGGGGGGGCTGCTTTGTTTTCTTTTCTTGGAACTTCAGGAAACCCAGACAGAGCTGGTGATGTTTATCCTTCTGCGCTTGGCGGAAGATGTAGTGACCTTTCATACACTGCCAACCCAGCGACGCCGGGACATCCAGCAAACTCTTACCCAGAATATGGAGAAGATCTTTAGCTTCCTGCTCAACACCCTGCAGCAGAATGTTAACAAATACAGACGCATGGTAAGAGACTATATCCCGCTGGTTCAGTTAGCACAGGAAACTCTCAGGCTTTCAGGAGATGGCAGCTGCAAGGGTGGGACATCAGTTCTGTTGTTGCACTTGAGGATTCTGCTGCAAGCAAGAAACCATACAGAGGGTGACCAGAAAAGATCTCGGGATCCAGTTACACTCATTGGTGATCTGTAGTTCTGGATTGCAGGGGAGTCTTTTAGCTGTATGAGGCCCTTGTTATGGGACGGTGCTGCCCCAGCTAGCTGGTTCCTGTACATGTTTCTTTGATGCATCAAACTGCCCAACAACCCCATTTGTCCTAAAAGTAGAGTTGCTGCTATTGTCCCTGAGGTTGAGGTCCCTTAAAGATTAATGTTCATTGAACCAGAAGTGTACTCAAAGCATTTTGAGACCTTTGCCTCTCCACAGAAGAGAGAAACAGATTTGGAAAGGCAGAAGAATACAGTAGTAACAAATCTAATGTTTACATGCATATCTTGTTTTGGATTTTCTTTTTCTAATTTGTTTTGATATCGTCAATCAGTGCTTGAAGATTACAGCCTGCTTGCCAAAATAGGCAAATCAGTGTTGATATCCTTGGCGTATTACCCACAAAGACCCTTGCATAAAGCCTCATGAATGGTGACTATAAGAGAAAAGGAGGGTTGGGAATGGTTACATCAGTAAGTCTGAACCCAGCCGTACTTACTCAGAAGTAAACTAATTTCAGTGTTTATCTCCAAGTAAGTATGTTCAATTGAATGAGGTGTGAAATGAGGCAGAGGGGTGAAAGCATGGTTATATTTGCTAATTGTGGAATCCTCTTAATTGGCAAGGTTAAAGTGCCCCAGGAACAAGATGCCCTCTCTCCTCCACAGGTTAGCACAACTTTTGAGCTGTTTGTGTAGGGTAATCCTTGAGGGGTGGGTTTATGGAGAGGCTGTTACCCAAGATCCTGTACTCTCACATTATACACATACTTGGGGTGATTTACTGTTATCAGTCCATGTTGGATGGGGGAGAGAATGAAGGCCCATATGTATGGAACATGAGTTTGTTCAGCTCTAGAAGTAACAACATGGAGTTTTGAAGGCAAAAACCTTTATAACAGAGTTTTTTAATATCTTCACACACAGGGAAGCTAAAAAAGTGCAACTTTAGAAACATTATTTGGGACTATGATCAGAATGCTTACTTGTGATATGAATCACCCAGAGATGGTAATGGGCAGTGGGGGCTGTAGGTTCTCTAGTTCTTGCAGGCTTTGCTGTTTGTTATTTGTTCCATCTCAGATCACTGGAGTCATAAGAAAAAAGGTAGTTGCACCATAATGCTTGGAGAATTGCTTATATGGGGGTGTTGAGCCAATCCTGGCCCTTAATGACCAAATAAAAGGGGACATTTCTGCAGGTAGTTGCTGCTGTCTATGACACTCTGATTGGAGAAGTCGGAACTGCTGAAATTCTCCCTTTAATAGAACTACTATGAGGTTATCATGTTTCCTTAACAAATCTGGACCGAAATCCTTCAATGTAAAAAAAAAAAAAAAAAAGTTTAAAATGGCATTGTGTATGAGATGGTTAAGATTGCTTAATGTAAAAAGGTGGTTGTAGCTATACTAAAAATTTGGTTCAAATAGAAATATATCATTTTTAATTTAATACTTTATTAGTCTTGTTTTACTGAGGGTGGTATATCTCGTGTTGCTGTAAGTGTGTATGGCAGGGTGGGCAAGGATTGTTGATACAGCAAAGCTTAAGAAACTGCTATCTTGAATAATAATTACTGCCAATATGGCCAAAGAACTTCACTGCGGCTTCATGCACTCCTGCTGAGTATATTGGTTCACTTAACATATCACTGTAGGCAGCTTCTCGCATTACAAGAAAAAAGCATGTAGCTTTTATATATGTAGAAGGGAACCTGGATCAGTTGCTGGCTTCACAGTACTGATACAAGTCTTCCCCTATCAGTGCACTCATTTTTCACACCATGTGTCTGTAACCCTTGCACATTATAGTTTTAATGTGTGTGCATCATGTTTATATAATTTGTTGGAGTGGTTCAAAGCTTTCTCAGTAGGACCGCAAATTCCATCCATCAGAAGTGGTCCTGCCATTGTTTATAGGACTTCACAACCTGAAACTTTTTCAGCTCACTTCAAGCTGTGAACTAAAAACAAAGCTAAGGATGGAATTAGGTAGAGGTTGTTACCTCAGCATAGCTTGTTTCTGCATGTTCAGTTTTCAAAGCCAAGGATGGATTTGTTGAAATATCCATAGCTCCATCCTAACAGAACAAAGGAGAAGCACACTACAGAAGTTCATTCACTGTTTGTTCTCTTTTCCAGAAGATGGATGTATCTCAGGAACAAAAGGTAAGCGAAGCCAGAGGAAGAAGCACAGAACTTTCTACACATCATGGTGTTCAGGAACTAGCGGACAAGTTTGTCCTTAAGCTGCTGCCACCCATATAAATTAGTATTTAACTTCAATGAGTTAATTGTGAAGTAAGTGAGGAAATTCTTATTTTGTCAGGGGGGCATGTTCACGATATTATAGAGTTAGAAGGTGAATTGAACCCTTCTTGAACTGATTTTTCAAGTCTAGCTTTCATGAGCGAGATTGGTATGATTGGTATTTTAAATGATTGGTATTTTATGTTTATGATTATATGTCATGCTAGGTTTTAATTGTATTTTTATGAAATCTGTAAGCTGCCCTGAGCCTGCCTTGGCAGGGAGAGCGGGGAATAAATTAAATAATTAAATAAATGAGCAGAGTACTTCAGAAAGCTGGTCTGATTGAATTTCTCAGTTTAGTTTCTCTGCAAGGGAAAATAAAGTGCTCAGAGCACTGATTGGCTTGTGCCCAGGTATTTACAAAAGTGAAATTCATTTTTTACATGTTAAGGTGTTATCATTCTGTTCTGCTATCAGCAGTGCCAGAGTATTAGTGAAGTAGATAATGCAAAATCCTCTAAAATGTGTATGACCCTTCAACTGTCATCTATTCACAGGCACAGGCAAACTGTCGAGTGGGGATAGCAGCACTGAACACTCTAGCTGGCTATATCGACTGGGTGGCTATGAGTCATATCACAGCAGATAATTGCAAGCTCTTAGAAATGCTGTGCCTTCTCCTGAATGAGCCAGAGCTCCAAGTGGGAGCAGCAGAGTGCCTCTTGATTGTAGTCAGCAGGAAAGTAAGTTCCTTTTGTCTCTTCCCTCTTCCCACATTAGTGCATGCTGCTTGACTACTGTTCTTCTTTCTTCCTTGGATTCAGCCTTGTTGCCTAGTAGCTGGGTTTTGGGTTTTTTGAAATGTAAAGAATTAAAATCAGTGCTGGTACAGATATCTAAGGTCCTGGGTAGACCTAGAAATGAATAACTAGTGTTTAGGCACGTATTCATACAGGCCTTTCTTTTACATGTACTGTCATAATATTGAAGCTTTAGAAATCCATGCTTTGGCACTCCTCCTCTAATATAGAACATTTGGATATTAAATTTGTATAATCTCCAGGAGTCAGCCAAAGCTGCAATAGGGGTGTGTGTGTGTCTCTTTTACAACAATCATATGAAGCATTTGCAGTTAGAAGCCATGCTTTCTATAACTACAGAAATGTGAATTCTATGTACCAAACATCTCCAGTAATCAAGCTACTCCACGGTCATGTGGTTTAACAGGGAGCAGTGTTGTATCCATCACTCTGCTGTGCCAGGGAATTGCTTCACTTATAAATGCTTCTGTTCTTTTTTTTAAAGTGCTTATTTTTATAACTGTTATTAATATTACCAAGTGAGAGTGGCAAGAAGAACATTTATTGACACCTTGTTTAATTCCTGCACAGACTGTGCGGAGAGATACTAAGCTTCCCCAACACCCCTCCATGCAGCTAGGGTTCCATTGAATGCTGCCCAGCACCATTTATTTTAACACTTTTTAAAAAAGTAATAAAAGACACAAGTTCTTATTTTCCTTCTAAGAATAATAAACATCTGTTAAGCACTTAAATGCTGCTGTGTGCATTTCACCTTTTTTGTCAATGGGCTTCATCACAGACATATGGCAAGACTTGTATTGCTCGCTAAACAGGATTTGGGAAAACAGAACCAGCTGCTCAGCATCCTTCTTCATTCAGAACCTTCCTTCCCACTACTTTCCCATTTTGTCTTCCAACCAACCACTCAGTATCCTTTTCCACTGAGCACCTTCCTTCCCACTACTTTCCCATTTTGTCTTCCAACCGCTCAGTATCCTTTTCCACTGAGCACCTTCCTTCCCACTACTTTCCCATTTTGTCTTCCTCTCGAAATACTCCCAACACTTTAGCAATAGCCTTGACTACTGTAGCCATTTTGTAAGGTAAATCAAACTCAAGGATGAGTAAACATTAATTTACTTGGCAGATTTATATGCTGCTCTTCCATGCCTCATGTGTCCAGTGCAGCTCACAAAGGATACAAAGTAATAAAATCAAAACAAAACAGTAACAGTGAAGCCTAAAAAACAGGGATAAAAATGGCTTACTCAAAGGCCATGTAGGATAGATAAGTTCTTCAGCAGAGGCTGGGTGGGGTGCAACAAGGAGGCCAAACCAATCTCCTATGGCAGGGAGTTCTGTTATTTGGGGGCAGAAAAATAGAAAGTTTTCACTGGAATCTCTGCTGGATGATCTCAAAACAGTATGGGTTCCTGTAGCAAAACTCTCATTGTGAATGGGATTTGAGGCCTTAACTTTGTACTTGTGGGATGTGATGCTGGTTTAGTTTGGCTTTGTTGATCTTAAGTTTATAGAATATAAGAGGTTTTTATGCATGAAATGAGTCAGAGGCTGGTGTAATTTAGGAGCAAGCATAAGGCATTGAAGTTGTATCTTTTCTTCTGGATTGTGCAGCTTCACTCTGTCCCCATTTGGCAACTTATCAAGGGGCTGGTTATTTAGAAAGAAGAACTCTTCCAAGGCTTACTTTTGCCTGTCCCTTACAGTTCAGTCTATTTGCACTTGATAGTGTCATATGGATGGAGGAGTTGATAGTGTCATGTGGATGGAGGAAAAATGGGAATAACTTAGTGAGAATGTTCTGCATGTTTGCAAAAGAAGCTGCCATATGTTAGTGGTAGGCATCTTTTGGTTCCTGGTTGCTGTTGAAAAGTTATTTTTATATGCTGTGGTAAAGATTTCCTTTGTACCTAGGGGAAACTGGAGGACCGCAAGCCTTTGATGGTTTTGTTTGGGGACGTTGCCATGCATTACATCCTCTCTGCTGCCCAGTGAGTAGTACAGTCCTGCTGCTATGACCACGTGGTAACTTCGAAATAGAAAGCTTTTAGTGTGTAGCTCACTGGTTTCCCAAATCTTAAATAACTGCTATTGTATGACTTTGACTCAAGCGTGGACAGAGCTCCAGACATAGAATGCTAAGGCCTAAATTAACATCATAGCTGAACATAGTGAGCCTTTCCGACTTTATATTTGAGGCATCGAGAGGAGGCAGATTTTCGGATAAAAGCAACTTCTAGAGTCTCTTTGAGCCATCACTGCATAAAAGTGTGCTCTACTTTGAAGTGCTGCCTCATGAGAAAAAACTCCAGCTTCTCACATCTGATTTTACCTGCTCATAGATTTCACCTTGCCGGTTTTTTATAGCCTTTGTTTCAGATGTTCCCTTTTGTGGTCTGTCTTACAGAAAATGTAGTAAAAGTTCAGAACTGTTACTTATGGAACTTATTGACACAAGGTTTCTCATGGAAGTTCTCTCTTCTTCTTTACTGTTCAGGACAGCAGATGGGGAAGGTCTGGTGGAGAAACACTATGTTTTCTTGAAGAGACTTTGTCAAGTCCTGTGTTCCTTGGGCAGTCAGCTATGTGCACTGGTGGTAAGTATCCAAAATGAGGCATCATTGTGGGTGTGTTTTTTGGTGATATTAAATAGGTGGTGGTGTGTGTGTGTGTGTGTGTGTGTGTGTATGTGTATATATATATATATATATATATATATGGTATTTTTTTGCATTTTGTGTGTGTGCATATGTGTGCCCATGCCTGGAAGTCATGGCTACCTCTGGCGACTCCTACTGAGGCATGGAGGACATTCAGAGAAGTGGCTTGACAACCTACTTCTGCATCCTGGCCTTGGTATTCTTTGGAGGTCTCCCATCCAAATACTTGCCAGGGTCAGCCCTGCTTACCTTCTGAGATCTAATGTGATCAGGCTTGTCTGGGCTATCCAGGTCAGGGTAGTGCTGATATTATATTGTCCTTGTTCCCAGTTTGATCTCTTGCACACAGCTTCAGTCTCTTTCCAGTAAATGTGCCAAGAATAATTATTAGAAGATATTCTTCAGTACCCATGAAATACAAATGAATGTTGCTAGTTTACAAATAATGTAGTGTATCTCCACGAGGGGCTTGGCCTAGAAAGTTCTTAAACTACCGATCCTTGTCATACTCTCCTTTTACAGTGCCAGCCCTGCCCACTTAATCTACTACAGTGATATTGCAACACTCACAGCAACATTCTGTCCTTTCTTGCAAAACACATTCACCCATTCTGTGACATGAATGTGGTTCGTAGGGGCCTGGGCAGACACTAATGTGGACCAGCAGGTACTATATATAACTAAGGGAGGGAGAATACTGGCTGAATGGTTCCTGCCCTTTTCAAGCTGTGTTTCAAGGGCTGACCACTGGTCTTACAGGGCTCAGTGCTGGAAGACTATTTTAATGCCAGAGCTTTATCCTGGAATATGTGAAATAGTGTCTGAGTATATGCACAGTGCCATTCCATCACCATCAACTACAGCCAGCCCTTGCATTTCCAAGATTAGGACTCCATACTTTCAGGTCAGAAGAAGAGGATACTCTGCATGCTCCCACCCTGACAACTTGCTTTTTAGAAAGTAGACTAGCAGTTGGTCAAGAGTCAATGTGGTGTAGTGGTGAGAGTATCAGACTAGGATGGGAAGGGGGGGACTAGGTTCAAATCCCTACACTGCCATCGAAGCATGTTGGGTGACACAGAGCCAGTCATTCTTGGCCTAACCCACTCACAGGGTGGTGGTGGTGGTGGTTGTGAAGATAAAGTGGAGGAGGGTAGAATGAGGTAAGCTGCTTTGGGGATAAAAGGGGTATAAATAAAAATGAACGTAAACAAGAGAAACCCCTTAGAAATGTAACTATTATGTCCTTCTAAGTATGCATTGAGTGTTCAGATCTTTGGTTGGCTTCGTGGAGGATTTTTAAGACAGTTAATTAGAATACTCCCAACTTAGAAAGAAGCAATCCAAATGCAGTTATTTATTGGCTGCTGTGCTGTAGTTCTTCTACTGCTCTCTGTGTTTTCCAAATGGTTGTACTCTTTTCCCACCCTTCTAGGTGTGAATTGAAATTACTGGCAACCAGTAGCTCTTTAAAAAGCTTAGCTCATCAAACCTGCAGTGCTGGATGAAGAGCTGTTACTCTCATAAGAACATAAGAGACACCAATGTTGGATCAGGCCAAAGGCCCATCCAGTCCAACACTCTGTATCACACAGTGGCCGGAAATACCAGTGCCATCAGGAGGTCCACCAGTGGGGCCAGGACATTAGAAGCCCTCCCATTGTTGACCCCCCCAAGCACCAAGAAGACAGAGCATCACTTGCCCCAGAGCCCCTAGCTATACCTTGTGGCTAATAGCCACTGATGGACCTCTGCTCCATATGCTTATCTAATTCCCTTTTGAAGCCGTCCATGCTTGTAGCACCCACCACTTCCTGTGGCAGTGAATTCCATGTGTTAATCACTCTTTGGGTGAAGAAGTACTTCCTTTTATCCGTTCTAACCCGACCGCTCTGCAGTTTCATGGAGTGCCCACGAGTTCTTGTATTGTGAGAAAGGGAGAAAAGTACCTCTTTCTTTACCTGCTCTTTCCCATGCATAATCTTATAAACCTCGATCATGTCACCCCTCAGTCGTCTTTTCTCCAAGCTAAAGAGCCCTAAGCGCTTTAACCTTTCCTCATAGGGAAAGTGTTCCAACCCTTTTATCATTCGAGTTGCCCTTTTCTGCACTTTTTCCAAAGCTATAATATCCTTTTTAAGGTGTGGTGCCCAGAACTGCACACAGTATTCCAAATGAGGTCTCACCATTGATTTATATAGGGGCATTATTATATTGGCTGATCTGTTTTCAATACCCTTCCTAATAATCCCCAGCATAGCATTGGCCTTCTTTATTGCAGTCACACACTGTCTCGACATTTTCAGTGAGTTATCCACTACAACTCCAAGATCTCTCTCTTGCTCAGTCTCTGCCAGTTCAGACCCCATCAATGTGTATTTATATTTAGGATTTTTGGCTCCAATGTGCATCACCTTGCACTTGGCCACATTGAACCCCATTTGCCATGTTGACGCCCACTCGCCCATCCTTGACAGATCCCCTTGGAGTGCCTCACAATCCTCACTGGTTTTCACCACCCTGAACAACTTTGTATCATCCGCAAATTTAGCCACTTCACTGCTTACTCCCATCTCCAAATCATTAATGAACAAGTTAAAAAGCAGTGGACCAAGTACTGATCCCTGCGGTACCCCACTGCTTACCACCCTCCACTGAGAAAATTGCCCACCTACACTCACTCTCTGTTTTCTATGAACTAGCCAGTTTTTGATCCATAAAAGGACTTGTCCTTCTATCCCATGATTTTTGAGCTTACTTAGGAGCCTTTGATGAGGAACTTTATCAAAAGCTTTCTGGAAGTCAAGGTAAATAATATCTATTGGATCCCCCTTGTCCACATGTTTGTTCACCCCCTCAAAGAACACTAACAGGTTAGTGAGACAAGATCTTCCCTTACAGAAACCGTGCTGAGTCTGCCTCAATAGGTTTTGTTCATCTATGTGCCTACTAATTCTTTCCTTAATAATGGTTTCCACCAATTTACCCGGTATCGACGTCAGACTGACTGGCCTGTAATTTCCCGGATCTCCTCTGGAACCCTTTTTAAAGATGGGAGTGACATTTGCTACCTTCCAATCCTCAGGAATGGAGGCAGATTTTAAGGAAAGATTACATATCTTTGTCAGGAGATCTACAAGTTCACATTTGAGTTCTTTCAGAACTCTCGGATGTATGCCATCTGGGCCTGGTGATTTTTCAGATTTTAAGTTGTCTATCAGTTTTAGGACCTCCTCTCTCGTCACCTCAATCTGACTCAGGTCTTTCAACACCCCTCCTGAAATCAGCGGTTCTGGAGTGGGCAAGCACTTCTCATCTTCCACAGTAAAGACATAGGCAAAAATGCATTTAGCTTCTCAGCAATTTCCCTATCATCCTTCAGTACTCCTTTTACCCCTTGGTCATCCAAGGGCCCCACTGCCTCCCTGTCCTCATATGTCCGCTAGGAAGTTCAAGGGGGTGGGAATAACCCTGCACTGAACTGTGTGGCTGAACAGTCCAAATAAACACCCTTAGTTGACTAGAGGCAGTATGCTCTTGTCCATATGATTGTCCATCATTTGACTCCATCCTAGATTTCCAGTGCCTCACCTCCTCTGTTTTCTAAACAGGGCTCTGATACAGATGTGGAAACACCAGCCAACTTTGGGAAATACCTTGAGTCATTTTTAGCTTTCACAACCCATCCCAGCCAGGTAGGTGAATGGGAAGTTTAAAATGCAGTATATAGGTTGTGTAGAGCCGGCTGTTCTGGAAAAAATGTGCTTGTGCTGCACTTATATACAGCTACATTTTTAAAATCTACATGTCTTTCCCTGGCTTAAGGAAATGCTTTGGGGGCAGTATAACCCAACCCAGAGAGCATTCATGCTGTTTAGTGCCTACTAGGCAGCTGAGCCTCCTCCATTTCCTATTCTGAAAATTGGAACTTACCATGGTGTGCAGTTTTCTACCACCTGGCATTCATTCAGATCCAGTTTTCAGTGGCTCATGGGGATAGAAATGTTGAACAGGAGTTCTTGGATTTCTTGTCTTGTCCTTTGAATGTTAGGATTATTATTTTTTGGTTTCATTTGGTATTAGAGTATTAACAGTACCTAAGAGGGGAGGCCAGCAGTGGTCATTGTGGTGCTTTCAACGCCTGAGTTCATATTTTTCAGTTAATAGATTTCTATTTTGATGGATTCTTTGTTTTTCCTCTAGTTCTTACGCTCGTCCACTCAGATCACGTGGGGAGCTCTTTTTCGGCATGAAGTCCTATCACGTGATCCTGTGTTGCTGGCTATTATCCCAAAATATCTGCGGGCATCTATGACTAATCTAGTCAAGGTACAGTAGTATGAGAGGCTTTGATTCTAAACTGGATAATAATGTATGTTTTATATGCATATGACACATGTGTGTCTGTGTTCTGAGTTAAAGAACCATATTTTTTGGAGGTAGGTATCCCATGACATATGGCAGGTTGCCAGGGTGTAAATTTCTCCCTGTGCCTCTTCAACAGGGGCCTTGATTTGGCCAGGAAACAGAATGTCAATGGCTGCTGCCCCCTTCAAACCAGTGTCACATAAGAGATTGTGTGCTTCATAGCTCTAGTATAGGCTAACTCTACCAGGCTGTTTATTTTTGTGAACTTTAGTTGCAGGCCTCTGAAGGTTCTGTTCCTTTAATTCTTTATTCACTGATGAAGCATGGAACAGGGCACTATTTTACTTACTTACTTACTTATTATTTTTGTTTATATCCCGCCCTTCCTGCAAGTGGGCTGAAGGCAGCTCACAACAATAAATTTAATACAATCTTAAAATCAGACACTAAATAACAATACTAAATTAATAAAATAAAACCAGTATAAAACATTCAAAGTGGGCAGTGCACTATATTCAGTTTCAGTTCCTACAACTGGGAAATGAGTGAGCCAGCACCGAGCCATAGTAGTCTCAAGCAACAGCAATAATAGGGAGGCCGGCTGGTAGATGCCCGCTGCCCCAGCCAAAGGCCTGGCAGAACATCTCCATTTTGCAGGCCCTGCGAAATTGCAACAGGTATCGCAGGGCCCTGATCTCAGTCAGAAGCATGTTCCACCAGACTGGGCTAAGCAGGCATCTTTTGGGCCGGGAACAACCAGCAGATGGTTATCCGCAGAGCACAAGGCTCTTCGGGGCACATATGGGGAGAGGCAGCCCCACAGATATGTCGGTCCCAGGCCGCATAAGGCTTTAAAAGTCAACACCAGCACCTTGAAATGGATCTGGTACTCGGTTGGTAGCCAGTGCAACTGGTGGAGCACCAGCTGGATGTGTGCCCACACAGACGTTGCAGTCAGCAGGCATGCCACCGCATTTTGCACGAGCTGGAGTTTCCAGATCAGCCTCAAAGGTAAGTCCACATAGAGTGAGTTACAGTAATCAAGCCTGGAAGTGACCATTGCATGGGTTAATGTAGCCAAGTCCCTGGGGGAGAGGTAGGGACCTAGCTGCCTGATCTGCCACAGATGATAAAAGGCAGACCTGGCAACTGTGGCGACCTGGGCCTTCATAGAAAGTGAGGCATCCAAGGTCATCCCTAAGCTCCTCAACTTCTGGGCCAGCACTAACGGTGCCCTTTCCAGGGTAGGGAGCCTAATTCCTGAATCCCCTCCCCCAGCTCAGGTACAGAACCTCCATCTTTGTAGGATTTTACTTCAGCCGACTCTGTCGTAACCACCCAACCACGGCCTCTAAAGCTCTGTCCAAGCTCTCAGGAACAGAGTCTGAGCGGCCGTCCAACAACAGATAGAGCTGGGTGTCATCAGCATACTGGTGGGAACCCATACCACACCCCCAGACCAGCTGGGTGAGTGGGGTGCACGTAGATGTTAAACAACATTGGCAAGAGAATCACCCCCTGTGGCACTCCACATTCTAGTGGGTGTCGTGGGGAAACCCTCTCATCTAGCACCACCCTCTGTCCCCGACCATGGAGAAAGGAGGAAAACCATTGTAGGGCAGTTCCCCGAACTCCTATGTTGGTGAGGCGGTGGGTCATAAGATCATAATTGACCATGTTGAATGCTGCTGTTAGAACTAACAAGAAAGGAGACCCTCGAAACTCGTG